GGGAGCGCCGCCGCGCTTCCCAAGCGGCGCACTATTCAGTGCGCCACCGGGCCGGCCCCCAGCTTATTGATTTTTACAAATGGAATATAGTCATGTAATCATCACCCAGATCAAGATAGAAAATATGACTGATACCCCAGAAGTCTCCTTTGTGGCCCTTCCCAGTCATTCCTCTCCCAAAAAGTTACTGCTGTACTGACTTACATCTTGATAGATTTTTTTAAAAAGTGTGACTTTTTTTCACTCAACATTATTTCTGTAAGATTCATCTATGTTGTGTTCAGCTGTAGTTCATTATTTTTCATTGCTAAATAATATTCCATTGTGGAACAATTTATCCATTCCACTAGTGATGTTAGATTGTTTCCAGGTTTGGTCTCTGGTGAATAGTGCTGCTGTGAACGTTCTTGTAAATGTCTTTTGGTACACATGTATGTGGATGCACATTTCTGAGTGGAATTGCTGAGTCATAAGGTGTGCATATGTTCAGCTTTGGTAGACACTTTTGGTAGATAATACCAAACTTAGATTTAAAAGTCCTAAATAGAGTATTAGCGAACTGAACCCAGCAATATATATACACACAGAAGATAATACTTTCCAACCAAGCTGAGCACAGGATGGTTTAATATTTGAAAATAAATCTATGTGATTCACCACATTATCACAATAAAGGAGAAAAATCATGTCAGTCGATAATCTCAGTAGATAAAGAACAGGGATATGCTCCTCTGTAACAGTATATTTATCACACTCAAGAAATATAAACTATTATCTAATATACAATGCACATACAGATTTCTCCAATTGCTCCAGTAATGTCCTAGCTGTTTTTGTTTTGTTTTTTTCATCTAGGTTCCAATCCAGGATCAAACAGTATTTAATTATCATGTATTATTGAATATATCACAATCTTAATACACACACAATAAAAGTGTAAAACTTAATTATTGTAAGGTGAATACCCTTCTAGTCCAATCTCATGAAAGGGGATAGACTCTAGCCATGCCCTTGCAAAAGTTTGTCACCTGCTGCTTCTCAAATACAACTCCCTCCTACCTGAGAGTAACTTATCCTGATTTTTATGATAATCACCTTTTTATTCATGGTTTAGTTTTACCTGTTTTTCAATATGGTTTTAGTCATATTTTAATAGTATAATTTAAATTATTAATGTCTAATTATAGTGTAATAATATTTTAATAATATTTTTAGTATGATAAAGGTCTCATAACCTATATGTTTCTCTACCAGTGTTTTTCTTTTTCCTTTTGTATTTGTGTGCTCAGTACATCACATCAGGAGGTGTATAATATCTGTCTCATTACTGATGATGTTAATTTTTCATCATTTGATTAAGGTATTGGCTAGGTTTTTCTACTATTTTTCCTTTTGTACAAGTTACTGTTTTTCATTTTGTAGCAGGTACTTTGAAACTATATAAGTATCCTGTTTTTCCTCATACTTTGATCTTAGTTTTGACAATCACTGATGATTTTTGCTCCAAACCATTTTTACTCTAATGCTTGCCAAATGCTGAGTTTTCTAACTTCATCATTCCATCTATAGTTTGTAGTTGGAATTCTACTAGAAGGCTTCCCATTCCCCCTTTTTTGGTGTGTATTTTATTTCAGCATTTTGTGTATTTTTATTTTATTCCATAATTAGAGATGGTCTGCAACTTCTATGATGGCTCAACTTAAGATTTTTTTTTTTTTTTTTTTTTTTTTTTTTTTTTTTTTTTTTTGTCTTTTTTTGACCGGTAAGGGGATTGCAACCCTTGGCCTGGGGCCGCCCGCGCCACACTCAGCCAGTGAGCGCACCGGCCATCCCTATATACGATCCGAACCCGAGGCGGGAGTGCTGCTGCACTCCCAGCACCGCACTCTCCTGAGTGAGCCACGGGGTCGGCCCTCAACTTAAGATTTTTTTTTTTTTTTTGTCTTTTTTTGACCGGTAAGGGGATTGCAACCCTTGGCTTGGTGTCGCCCGCACCACACTCAGCCAGTGAGCGCACCGGCCATCCCTATATAGGATCCGAACCCGAGGCGGGAGTGCTGCTGCACTCCCAGCACCGCACTCTCCTGAGTGAGCCACGGGGTCGGCCCTCAACTTAAGATTTTTTGACTTTACAATATGATGGTGGGAAAGCGATACACATTCAGTAGAAACTATACTTTGAGGATCCATATGATCATTCTGTTTTTCACTTTCAGCACAGTATTCAATAAATTACATAAGATATGTAACAATTATAAAATAGGCTTTGTTTTACAGGGTGTGCTAATGTAAGTGTTCTGAGCAGTATTAAGGTAGGCTAGGCTTAGTACGCTATGATGTTCAGTAGGTTAGGTGTATTAAATGTATTGTTGTCTTATATTTTCAACTTATGATGGGTTTATTGGGACATAACTCCATTGTTAAGTTGAGGAGCATCTGTATATAATCTGTTACTGTTTTTTTTTTTTNCCCGTGGCCTTGGTGTTATCAGCACCGCACTCTCCCGAGTGAGCCACGGGCCAGCCCTGTTAACTGTTGATATTTATTTTGATGTATGAATCGTCCCAGTTTAAGCCAGCGGCAGCCCTTCAAAATGGTGCCTGTGCCCTTTTAACATACCTTTTTCAGCACTTTCTGGTACAAGGTGTTTCAATTTATCTTGTACTTTTCTAGCCCCAGTTGGAGGTTGAATCAGCCATTTCTCTTAGGAGACCTGGTTCCGTGTAGTGGGTAATGGTATTCAGAAGCAAAGATCTTGGTGTCAGAATTGGTTTTTCTTTATATTTATCCTGTTTGGGGTTGTGGATCTTTTTGAATTCATGGCTTGATGTTTTCTGTGAGTTTTGGAAGAGTCTTGGCCATTACCTCTTTAAGCATTGCTTCGGTTCCATTCTGTCTCCTGTTTTTCCAGGACTCCAGCTACTCATATGGTAGAAATTTTCATTGTATCCCATGTTTCCCGTACGTCTCTTGTACACATTTCTGTATTTTCCTATCCCTTTTTCTTTCTGTACTTTAATTGTATTAATCTATAATCCTTCCCCCCACCCCCTTTTTTGGCATCTAGCCAGTATGGGATCTGAATCTTCAGCCTTGGTGTTATAACACTGCGCTTTAACCAACTGAGCTAAAAGCCCAGCCCTAAACTATGATCTTTTCTTCTGCTGTGTTTAACCTTGTATTAAGCCCATTTATTAAGATTCTCAACGTAAGTTATTATGTTGTTCAGTTGTAGTATTTCCACTTGATTTTAAAAAATAGATTGTACTAATCTAGTGAAATTCTTGATACCATCAGTGTTTAACATGTTAATCATAATTGCTTTAAAATCTGTGTCCGATATCTTTGTATCTAAATCACGTGTCTATTTCCATCGCCCCTCCCCCATTTTCGGTAATTTAAAAAAAATGTATGAAAGTAATTTGATCATCTGTTTATAAAGTTATGAAAACAGTAGTCTTAGATTCAGTAGCAATTACTTGATCTTACATCAATCAGCGTGTTGCTAAATTTTGTAACAAAACAACCCCCAAATCTCAGTGGTTTACAACAGGAAAGGCTTATTTCTTGCTCATATCACATTTTGGTTCCTGAATAACACAGTTATTTTCCATGGTTATTATGTTTTATATGTCTTATTCATTCTGGGGTCCAGGCTGAAGGAGAAGCCCCCATCAGGGATGTATTGACCTCATGGTCAAAGTTAAAGAGGGTATGGACTATGAACTGTATTTTATGAGTCTACTCGGGTCCGGGTCATGTCAAATTTGCTCACAGTCAGTTGGCCACAGCGAGTTATGTGGCCAAGCCTGCAGTTAATAGGGTGGAGAAGAGTATGTACTAATTCCATAGGGAAGCATTACAAGTTACATGGCAAGGGTAGGAATATATAATCTTTTCAGGGAGCAAAGAGTGAATGATTTGGAAGAAAAATACAATTTATCCCACTATCCTAAATAAAAACTGCCAGTTTTGAAAAAAGCTATATCTGGATGAAGATATGAATGCAAAGTTATTACTGATAAATTATAAACAGTAAGGAACTTTATGGTATATTCAGTGACATGTTAAGCAGTTATTAAAATGATCATTGTAATATTTAGCAACATAGGAGAATGCATTTAATGTAATATTAAGTGAAAAAGCAATGTACATATGTATGCACCCATTGAGCAATGCGCACACATCTCACATTAGTAAGAAGACAATGCGCACACATCTCACATTAGTAAGAAGATTGAAGATATAACATTGGTCATAGTTATTATAGGATGTGTAGCAATGCACACACATCTCACATTAGTAAGAAGATTGAAGATATAACATTGGTCATAGTTATTATAGGATGATAGACTGATAGATTTAGGGTGAATGATTTTTTTTTTTTCCAGACTTAAAGTTTTTGTAGTGCTGTTATTTTATAATTTAAAATAATTTTACCCTTATAAAAGGTTATTTTTCATTCTAAAAGGCATACACATGTATCAGAGAAACATTGGAAAATACAGAAAAGGGAATAAAAAAATAAGTTCTGGACCCATCTCCTAAAACCATTACTGTTACTATTTTTGGTGTGTTAAAAAAAATTAGTTATGTTAAAAAAATTACTCATTAGTCATTTATTGTATTGTCATGTTTCATTTCAGGTCCTGAAAATCCTTGGTTAGTTCAAGCTTATGTTTCAGCAGCTAAACACCCTTTTGCTTCTGTGGTGGCTCAGGAGGTTTTTCAGAGTGGAATCATTCCCTCAGATACTGACTTCCGTATCTACAGGGATTTTGGGAACATTCCAGGTATTCTGTCAATGGTTGTGGGCTATTGTGCAGCAGTGATTTATAAAAAGTAAGTTTTACTTCTTGAAAGTTTGTGAGTAAACAGCATTTTCTGAGAGCAGATTCTCTTGTGAGAGCTATACATTTTGACTCACTGAAACAGAGTTCCTAATATTATCCTTTTTTAAACTCTATACTAATTTAAATGCTTGCCTCCTATGGAATATGTCATCTTGCCCCACAGTGTGACAGAACAACAGGGAAGAACTGTTTAGCGCTTCATTCCCTAAAGATGGTAACAGATCCATTAGAGGTTGTTGTTGTCTTGCTTTGCCAACTACCTTGGTGACTTGCATTGCTTGTTTGAGGTTAAAGTTTATCTCTATGCTGTCAGGGATGTAGGTGGCAAAGTTTGACCTGCCAAACTCAATATTCCTACCCCTTGCCAGGTGACTTCTAATGCCTCCCTGTGGAGTGGTGTACTTCCTAAATCATTACGTATTGAATTAAATTATGTGCCATACCTATAGATTCTCTAAGAATTTGGGAGAGAGTTTACATCATTCGTTTATATATGTGACAAAGCAGTCATGCCACTGCTTTGACATTTTGTGTTTTATGAAGTTAATACAGTAAACAAATAGGCTGAAAGCAAAATTGATATTTAAAGGAAAATGACTTTTTTTTTTCTGTATGTCTTAGGAATAGACCTAGCTTTTATTGAAAATGGATACATTTATCACACCAAGTATGACACAGCAGACAGAATTCTAACAGATTCCATTCAGAGAGCAGGTTGGTGTTCTAATTTAAACTTTTGATATATGGTAAGATTAAATATTAAGGATGACCTATAAACCTATAATTATTCTGTGACCTGTGCATTAGCGAGGCATTGTGCAGTATGAATGAGTTAGGGCTTTGGTGTTAGAGAAACGAGAGCTTGAATTTTAGTCTTGCGGTCTAATTTAGCAATTAAGAACATAAGAACATTTCATTGTGAGGAACTGGAAAGAGGTTGACCTAGGGTTATGATAGTATTGCTGCGCAATAAGAACATATTGGACATGTGGCACTAGGACACATTTGGGCAGCTTGCCCGGGTGTAGAAAGCAGTTATGTTGATCCACAGTTGGGTAGTGAGAACAGGTGAGAGGGTTATAGGATAGGTATCAGAGAAGGACACAGGTGCAAGAGAGTTAAAAGTGCTTTCCAGAGAGATCTGGAGTAGTCTGAGGAGGTGAGTCTGGTGCAGAGCCTTAAAGAGTTGGTAGGATTTGGCCTGTGGAGAAAAGAGGATGTTCCAAGTAAGAGCACAGTATGGGTAGGGTGTGTTTGTGTGTGGGAGGCTGTTGATGAATAGACTGTCAGATTAGAATGGAAGTAGTATTTTCAGAAATAGGAATGAGGTAGAAGTGTATGGAGTAGAGAAAATTGTAGAAGGCTTTATAAATCAGAGAGAAGATGCTATATGAATAAGGAATCATTGAGGGCCTGAGCCCATGAATGAACTCATTAAGATGGCTTTAAATGCTGTTAGTCTGGGGAATGCAGTGGGGAGTGGGTCATGTGGCGGGGAGAGCCAGGAGTCAGAGCTGTTCTGACAGTAATTTAAGTGTGGAATAATGAGGACCCAGACGGTGGTGTTCACAACAGATAGAAATGAAAGGGGAGGGATGGAAAATTAGATACATTTGGAATATAAATTCAGCAGGACTTGACAGGTCGGATAGAAGGGAGGAATCACATGAACGGCAGCCAAGATGATCACCAAGTATAAAGCCTCGCTGGCTGGGGAAAGGCTGTGCCATTGTTTGTGATGGGGAAGTGGGAAGGCGACCTTCATCTAGAGCGGCAGTGGACAGGGAAAGGAGACTGGGAGTCATGTCAGATGTGTGAGACGGGGGTGTCTGTGGACCAGCCTGTGGAAAACAGATACAGTGTGAGAGCTCTTGGCAGAACTCGGTATGTGGGTTTGTGAATTAAAGGCATAGAGAAAACAACACGAGTATGGAGAATGGAAATGTCTTTTGGAGGAGTGAAGCAAAGGGAGAGGATTAAGACGGCTTTGGGAAAAACATTTTAAGGTAGAGAGAGAAGCCTGTGAAAGAGATCTAGTGGTAAGAGTGTGGTGTCCTAAGTGAAGAAAAAAAGAGAAAGTCAAGGATGGACGAGCAAGTCTTACTGCCCCTGTGTTAAAGTTTGAACTCATTCGTTTACTGATACAACAAATATTTGTTACAGACCTTTGATGTGCCAAGATTTGCCTGATAGGACTCCCCCTGCTTCTCCAGCATCATGCTGAATACTTTCTCTCCTCGCTCAGGACTTTTTTTTTGTATTTAGAACTTTCCCCCTCGTGGTCTTCACCTGCACAGTTCTCTCAGTCTGGACAGTCTCCCTTATTGGTAGCTAGCTCCTATACATCCTTTAGCGTAAATATCGCTTCTGCAGGGATGCTTGTCTGACTTCCCAAACTCCATTAGTCTCCCATGATACGTTCCCATGGGACTCTACTCCCTTCTTATTAATTCTTAACACGTTTGTAACAGCTTGTTTAGTGTCTGTGAGCTTTGTGAGAGGACTTTGTCTCTTGGTTCACCACTGAATTTTTGGTATCCAGAATAGTATCTTGTATAGTTAATATATATTAAATGAAGGAGACTAAGAAACAGCCTTTGGGTTTGCCAACAGTGAGGGTACAATTGACCATTGAGAACAGTTGTAATAGTACTGGCCAGCTGCCAAAAAAAAAAAAAAAAGTTACAATAGAGGGGAAAGGACAAAGGCCATTTGACTGAGCTTTGAAGTGGAGAGGAAATGGAGTGGGGGGCATGGACCTTATTTGAGAAATTTATTAAGAAAAGTGGGGGAGAACAGTAGGATGGGGGAAAACAATTTATGTTCACATTTTATTTCTTTATTCAAGTAGTATATAGTTTATTTCTGCTTTAAATAGTTGTACATGTAAATTACATTCAGATAGTTTATTCAACTTCATTGTCTTTCTTTTCTTTACAAATAGGTGACAACATTTTAGCAGTTCTTAAATATCTAGCTACGTCTGATATGCTGGCTTCTTCCTCTAAGTATCGACATGGAAACATGGTCTTCTTTGATGTGCTTGGCCTGTTTGTCATTGCCTACCCCTCTCATGTTGGCTCAGTAATAAACTACATGGTGGTAATGGCTGTTGTTTTGTATCTGGGCAAAAAATTGTTGCAGCCCAAACATAAGAGTAAGTATTTTCCTCTAAAACTGCAAATACTTGCATGGCTGTAGGATTTTTTGAAGTTTTTTAGTCAGTTTGCTTATATCTTCCCAAGAAGTGAAAAATCTTAAGAAAACAGCATTTGACTTATATTGTAAAAAATTCCTAAATAAATATTAAATTAATATACTCATTATACTTTTAGTTTTGGTGAAGCAGACAAGTTTTATGCACTTACATAAAACTTATGTCACACAGGAGCTATTGAAAAACGATTTGTATAGATTTACTTTTAAAGAAAAGTCCCATTACAAAGTCTTGTCCACACTACAGACCAAACAGCACACTGTTCTGAGGTATGAATGAACTGCTTTTGGTTAAATTGGTCCCTTCTACTTGAAATGTTTCTGCTTGAAATATTTCAGAGTCTAAATTATGCGCTGTTACAAGATAAAATATTCAGCAGCAATGTAAATAATCCTTTCTCACCAGTAATTTTTCCCATGCTCCTCATCTCCGTTTTTTTACCTTCTTTTAGCAAGATTTTATATGGAACTTTGCCTTCCATTCTTGCTAATATTTTGATACACAAAGCATCCCGAAGGGGGTGAAGATTAAGACTACCCATTTCCCTAGTAAGGAATGTATTTGAACTGTTCCTAGAAGACTTATCTCTGGGTTTTTAGTGTCCACAGACTCTCAATAAATGTTACTTGAATATTATTCTTTGATATCTTCCGTGTTCTTATGTTTAACAAACCTCAACACCAGGACATTTAAGTACTTTATGTTACAGTCGTGAATGTGCTTTAATGTTTGCCTTCTGACTGGCTATGTAATTGATTTGATGAAGATGGTGATCTCAGCTTTTTGTTTTCTCTTCATTAGCTGCTAACTACATGAAGGACTTCTTGTGTGGACTTGGCATCACTCTGATTAGCTGGTTCACTAGCCTTGTTACTGTCCTCATTATAGCAGTGTTCATTTCTCTTATTGGACAGTCTCTCTCATGGTATAACCACTTCTACGTCTCCGTTTGTTTGTATGGAACTGCAGCTATAGCCAAAATAATATTCATTCATACCCTTGCAAAAAGGCTTTATTATGTGGTAAGTATTAGGTATATTTATTGATTTCTGTTTTCTGCCTTCAAGGATTGAAGACAAACTCAAGTGGGATTAATCGTATTTGGCCTTTTGAACTATTAAAAATTGTTCAGCATGGTTAGAGAAAGCACTTCCACAACTGTGTTAATTTTCTGGAAGGTTTCTTATTCTGAGGGTTGTGTTGCAGAATTCAAATTAGGTTATAAAGTTGGACTGTAAACAGGGTTTAGGCTAGTGGTGACAGCAAGGCTTGTTAGCACAACCCTCTGATCTGCTTACTTTGCTGCAGTTTTTCTAACTATGTTCTTGTATCTACCAACCCTCCCTTGGCTCCCCCAGTTATTTATGTTTGAATATCTCTGTTCTCCACTGAAATGTAAGCTCCATGTGTTTTATTTATTGCTTTATCTGTGCTTAGGCAGTGTTTGACACATAGCATTTGTTGCCTAAAATGTTGCACTTAAAGGTTTCCATGTTTTTTTCACTTTTTCCTTTTAGCTATGTGTTATTGATGCAGATTCTAATAGCTTGCATGAGTGGTGACAGGGTTAAAGACACATTGCTAAGGAAAAAAGAAGGAAGGGAAGGAAATAGGGTTCCAAATGATTTATACTGATTTTTAGAGAATATTGTCATATTGCTATTGTTTCAACTGTATAAATTTGTTTGGTAAAAACAAAATTAGGAATTAGAGTTATGAAATAATAGGACTAAAGTTGAATTACAAAGAGAGAGTCATGGTTGCCGATTTTCTAAGTGAGTTAAAGGGGAAAGTCCTTCTTAGCTCCATTGTTGTTAAGACAGCCAATAGACACCTGTTTTTTTTTTTCAATTTGTCTTAATAGGGATTAGAATGGAGACATGGAACACTATAATCCAGCATCCTTCTACAAGGTCGTCTTTGGTATCCCAACCTTGGTCTCAGTTTTAGTTAATGTTGGGATATGGTCTGAGGAATCTTTCTTCTGTGTTAGCAGGCTCTACTGAAGAAAGTTTTCTTTGAAATTAGCCATCTGCTTATGGTTGAGCTCATAATTTTATCTTAGTGGCTTCAGTTTCCAAAAGAATTACACCATGGGACTCAATTTCACATGCTGCTGCCTTTTTTTTTTTTTTTTTTTAATTTTAATTTAAGGTTTTTTTCTTTCTTTTTTTCTTTTTCACATGCATATTCTTAGTGCAGCTATATGTAACCAGAATGTGGCTGACTGTTGTGGATTGGGGCACAGACAGAATAGAAATGCTTATTAAAATTCCATTTGCATTCACTAATTTCAGTGGTCTGATCATAACACTTTGGGCTGAAAGCATAATGGAAAGAGTAATGTGTTTCACTTTCATTTCACAAACATTCTTTAAGCACCCAGTAGCACCATGCTTAAAGACTGGTGATGCAGAGATTCGTTAAGTACGTGATCTCTTTCTTTGAGGAGGTCACATTTTCATTTGGGCAGATGCAGTCTCCACAGTAATTGCATAAACTGTGGGATGATGTGAAATAGAATGACACATACACAGTGCTACAGGAATACAAGGGCAAGAGAGAAGAATTTTGCCTGTGGAAGTCAAGAAGCTTTATGAAGGAGGTGGTGTCATTTGAATGGAGCTTTTGAAGCATGAGTAGAAGTTTGCCAGATAGAGAACACATTGATGAGCAGTCACAGCTGGGAATATACAAGATACATTTGGGTCATAGCCAATAAAAAGTCCAATGTGGTAAAGACAAGGTGACAGCACAATAACTGGAAAAGTAGGCCAGGGTAAAGTTGGAGCATTACCCTAAAAATCATTGAGGCCACCACTGAAATGTTCTCAGCAGGATAGTGTGTGAGAGAATTTGTTATTTAGTAAGAAAACTCTAGTAACAGTATATAAAATGGATTGGAATGGGGCACGGGTAGGAGGAGTAAATAGAGGTGAGGATGAAAATAGATTTGAGGGTTGTTTGTTTTATCTTTGGTGTGGTTTGGGCATTTAATATAAAACATTTTCAGTTATTTCAGTTTTCATTGCTAGATCTTTGATTTCAAATATCTGAATGGCATTCAGCTTCAGAATGAATCCTAAGAATTATTTTTTTCTTTTTAAAGACCAAACCTCTTGAGCAGCACTGTGTTCCGTGTCTAAGTATTTAATGACTATAGCCTATTTGTCATTGTCCAAGGGGGAGGGGAGTTGTCAAATGAACTTGAACTTGTTTTGAAAACATATGACAGAAACTCTTTTGAACTCTTGAAGTAGAGTTTCCTATAAAAAACAAGCCCTGGGTTATGCAGAAAGAAGAAGGCAGAGGAAGGAGAAACTTAAAATATATCTATTTCCATTTTGGTATTTATGCACTGTAATTATAACTTTGATGTTTGCATTAATAGAATTCCTTGTGCAGATGTTAAAATGTATTAAGTTCATATGGCAACTTTCTTCTGAAGAGTGCAAGGTGCTGCATAGGAACCCTCCGACTTCAAGTCTCAAAAAATATAGACCAAATTTTATAATGTGAAAGCACCAGGAGTACAAGAAAGGGGTACAAGACCAACTGTAAAAAGAAAAGACTCAGAAAATCAAGTCAAACCCCAGCTTGCTTTAAAGGTCCTGCAGTTTTCCAGGTGTGCTATTGGTTGTTCTGCAGGAGTTTGTAATGTTCCTTCAGAGGTTATTTCTCTAGTTTGCTTGAAACAGTCTTTGGAAGTTGCATAAACAGAAAAACTTACAGAGATTAATGTTATTAGGAGAGTCCTTTCTTCTGTTTGGGAATTTTTCCAAAGGTTACTTTTAGCCTAGTGGAAGAAAAGCACAGATTAAATATAAGTAATGGTATTGCTTTCACTCTATTTTGTTAGATTGCCCTTTCCTGTGCAGCAATTTGGATTTATTACTTCATGATAGGAGGTAGCTTTGTCTGTGTTTACTTTGTCAGCTTAAAGGGTAGACATTCCTTAAAACAAAATGTAGCTCTCCTGAGTGGCGGAAATTGTATTACAATAAAAGATCTTTATGAATGACCCACGAATGAGACTACTTGTATATTTTTCTTTCTTGCAGAATGCCAGTGACCAGTATCTGGGAGAAGTATTTTTTGACATCTCGCTGTTTGTGCATTGTGGTTTTCTTGTAACTCTCACTTATCAAGGACTTTGCACAGCATTTATTAGTGCGGTCTGGGTAGCATTTCCATTGCTCACAAAGCTTTGCGTGCACAAGGACTTTATGCAGCATGGTAGGGTATTTTTGGTTTTGATACAAATGGGGAAATACCTTAAGATACATAAGATAAGGCTTCCAGGGGGTATTTGTTTTTTGTTCTTATTAAGTAGGCTTTCTAAATCGTTACTGTTTTTTTCATGCCACACACACAGATTTTTATCTTCTACCTTATACCCCATGACATTCTTATGTTATGAACACATGCTAATATATTACTTGTGTATTTTGTTTAACTGTTAGTTGTATTTTATTGTCTCTGGGTGGAAGTGTCTTATCTCACTAGATAATATATACCTAAAGGACAAGAGTCACATCTAACCTAATTTCTGTTAGGTGCCAAGGTACACCAGTACTGTAAAACTCTGTATCTCACTGTGGAATTTCTTAGATGTGTGTTTTTCTTCTCTTTTTCCATAGGTGCCCAAGGAAAATTTATTGCCTTTTACCTTTTGGGGATGTTCATTCCATATCTTTATGCATTGTACCTTATCTGGGCGGTATTTGAGATGTTTACACCTATCCTTGGGAGAAGTGGTTCAGAAATCCCACCTGATGTTGTGCTGGCGTCAATTATGGCTGGTTGTACGATGATTCTCTCTTCCTATTTTGTAAGGAAGAAAATTTCGTTGTCATTTTTCTTCTTCATTTTTTTTTATGTGAATATGTGATGAGTTTAACTGTACTAGAATCTATGGAATAGTATTGTTTATACTTTATTGAGAAAGTCTTAAGCAAAAGAAATGATGAATGGCTATGCATCTTGTCGATTTGGTATGGTAAGAAAATATAGAATGGGGATTTTTGTTATGGCTGTATTTTTAATTTTTTAAACTTTTCCCTCCCCATCCTCCCAAGTCCTCTGATTATACCTCTTTTCAAGTAGCCTTTCAGACTATCTGAATGTGAATTCACAGAATGCATACCAAGTGAGAATTGCTAGAGATTGCCTGGTAGTGAGCTTTTAGAATGATTCCTAATAGTGTGTTTTAAACTTACTAATTAGAGGCAAGTGTTAATAAATACATGGTAGTTTAATTAGTGCCGTTAGAGTGAGTGAAGGAGGACCAATTCTGATGAGGCTTTTTTCATTATCATTCCACTACCCTGTTGCTAGTGCATCTCAGTTCATTAATTGAGTCTGTCTCCTTGGGTTATGTACGGTTAGGACACTCAAACATGCCTTCGCTTGCCAAGTAGTGAAAGAGTATCACAGGCCTTGTCAGTCCTCATTTTGCTTTGTCAGCATCCTGCCCTAGGAGGGAGAGCTCCATTTTCTGTCCCTGTCCTTGGGTTATGTACGGTTAGGACACTCAAACATGCCTTCGCTTGCCAAGTAGTGAAAGAGTATCACAGGCCTTGTTAGTCCTCATTTTGCTTTGTCAGCATCCTGCCCTAGGAGGGAGAGCTCCATTTTCTGTCCCTGCTTCTCTTCCCTTGGGACTCTACAGAAGGAAGGAAAGATAATGATGGAGAGTTTAAGACCAGTCCCCGCTTTGGAGGAGCATGCCCTAGGCAGGGTTCTGCTCTTTGCATGGTATCCATACTTCCAAGACTCAGGCCGGGCCCCTCTGCAGAAGGCAGGCCTCTGCTTTGTGGCTGTTTTAATTGGCATTCCCAAGAATAAGTGCTTACTGAATACCCATAGGTACACCTTGATATTGGAGGCTAGAGGACCAAATAGAAAAGGAGTTGTAGCTTTATTATAGTTCTTTTCTCCATGGAAATAATAGAGTTTTTCATATTGACACAGTAAAGGGCATCTCATATGGAAGTTAGGTTCTAAAGACAGCAGGTAAGGAGAACACCAAACACATGCTCAGCGTCATCTATGGAAGTCCATTAAGTAGCCAGTAAAGCTCTGTATACGTGGCTTTGCGTATCTAACCCTGGGGAATAATTCTTATGCACATTACTATTATTATTCGTAAAAAAATTTTGTCCATTTTATGTACATTATTGTTTGAGGTTGGCTACTAGTCCTAAAAGAAATCTGAGCATTTCTACCATTGTACCTTTAAGATAATGATTAAGGCCTTGTAGGTATTTGCAAAGATGGATGGAAAGTTCTAAAATGTTCTTCGTTGCCTGCAAGGTTTACTTCTTTTGGTTTTAATATTAACCCTTAAATCCTCTGTACTTGTTAATAGATAGGTTTGCTGTTCTGAGGATTTAAGGAGATCATCATCTATAGATTAGGTTCTAACATAAAGTCACTAAGTTTTGAACTGGACCCCCCACATGTATTTATTAAATTATAGTCAATGAACAGAAGCTGTCGATACCCATAAAAGATGACCCAACTGTGGGACATTTGATTTCTGTTCCATTGATCATATGGAAGGAGGCAAAATGAACCCTGGAAACTCTGACTGTGAAAATTGAAAATGTCCCCAAAGCATGGAAATCTTGGAAGTGAAGAAAGAGGATTAAGGTGTATTATCTTCTAAATTATATTTTATTAGGAAAGCTTTTGGAAAGAAGAGCGCCTCTTGGAATACTTTAACAACCTCATTTCATTTTCATTGTAATGTGAAATAGCTCTGCTGCTCTTTGATCCTGTGGGTTATCGTTATTTTCATCATTTTCTTATTTAAGTGTAGCTGTGTAAAAGATAGTGGCTTATGAATAGAGAGACTATTCTCCTTGGGTAATGGAGAATTGAACAATAATGCCTATTTCAGAGAGCTTTTCTTTCAGTCCTTGGGGATTTATTAAATATATTTTCTAGAAAGCAATTAAATTCCTGTCAAGTGATTCGTTAACGGGTTTGCTGGGGTTGCTCTTTGCTGGGCTGTCATGGTTATATTGATTGAACGAGAACTGAAGTGGGACTGCTGATAGGAGTGGAAACAGGAGACTCAGAGAGAAAGTTCAGAGCCATCAGCACACACTGGACAGTTCAGGGTCCCTCTCCTGCTTCTCTTAATTTTATTTTGCTTGCATTTCAGAACCTAGAATGACATAGGATGCAACATTTAAGACAGAAATGGAATTGTCAAGGTGATTAACAGTAGAATCCAAACACTTTGTCACTTTATGGCCATTCCCTCCTCCTCCTCTTCTCCTTCATTCGTGATTGCCATTTCATTTATACCATTACCAAACCTCTTCCAGTAGATGGGTGGAAGAGGCAGAAGATGAGCCTCATGATTTGGAGAAGAGGGAATGTAGATGTGGAAACTGTGAGCTGAAAGTGAGGGTTTAGGACAACTTTGGGTAGTAGCTGGCTTGAGAATGCCAGGAGTCACAGCATTATGACATTATTACCTAAAAGACTCTGTTCCTAAACTTACCAGCCTTCCAGTGGAGGGGAAATTTATTACTTGACAGGACATTGAAACTCTGAGGAGCCGTATTTTCGATCTTGTGACTATTAGGAGAGAGAGCAGATAGGGTGACAAATTGTGTTTTGCTTACTGCCGTAAGTCCTCAGGTACTTTATTTTTGTACTCATAGTGCACGAATGTAAGATCTTTGACCTTTAGACCACTGTTGTTTTGTTAGAGATTACCCTAGATGAGATATTGGTACACTGTATGAAAGTCCTTTAACTTTACATAGTAGAGTAGATGGTAGGCTATGAATACTTGCTTAATTTTTCATTTTCATCTCAAAATATTTTCACATTCATGTTCTTTACTTCTGTGTTTACTGACACCAGGGGGTGGGCAATAAACTAAAGAAGGCAAAAGGGGGAGCTGGGTTTAGATCATTGTTTTTCGAAGTGGACATATTCTGTGAATTGTGTGTGTCCTATGCAGTTTTTAATTCAGTGATTTAATCACAGTTTAAAAGCTAAGATAAGTATATTTAGGATTTTTTTGGATGTCAGCCTTGAGACTGAGCCATTCACTTTTACTACTAACAAATTCAGATTTGTTGTTTTGATTGAGTTGACATTGGTTGACTTATCACCTAACGGAACAGTATTACTTTGTAATGCACTTTTTCCTTATACACAAGTCTGCAGGCAAAACATCTAAATGCTAGTTTAGGTGAATCCAACACTTTGGCACATTGCAGAAGCATTATGGGTGGAATTTGAGTTTTAATGAAATAGATCTGTTTATGCTTAAAAAGCTTATCTCTGGTTATTTAATGAAAGCTTTGATGTCATAATGTTTGGTACAGTTAGTTAAATGGTGCCTGCTATGCAGTGTTAACTATCTCAGGGCACTGATAGAATTAGTAATAAAATAAGGTAATGGTTTGGCTGGTGACACATCTGCATCCTTTATTCTATTAGCTGATTGAGCAGAGACACTGTGCTTGACTTCCTTTTTCCTTAGTGTTTTCTGTCAAAAAAACCCCAATATGTCATGATGGTGACCATCATGGCTGATTAGAAGAATCTATCATTTTCTAGGCTCTGAGGTGTGATGGGAATCCCATAGAATTCATGTTTTGTTTATTTTAATGTTGGAGTATGTTACTACATGCTGATAAGTTTTCTTCATTGTCTGTTAGGTACATACCTGTTACAAAATAAAGTCAGTTAAAAATGCCTTTCTGCCACTGGCATGAATTTGTAATTTTTCTATTTTTGTGTTTTGTGTTTTAGATTAATTTCATCTACCTTGCCAAAAGCACAAAAAAAACCATGCTAACTTTAACTTTGGTATGTACAATTACATTCCTCCTTGTTTGCAGTGGAACTTTTTTCCCATACAGCTCCAATCCTGCTAATCCAAAGCCAAAGAGAGTATTTCTTCAGGTAAGAGCAGTTTTACATGAGCTATTTGAGATTCTGGAGAGGAAAAGCCTTGTACATTTTGGGCTTCACGAGTCAACAGGAAACTCAACTGACTTTTCTGCTGTTGACCTATTTAGTTGAACTCAACTTTTTTGTGTCTAAAGCACTGAGGAAAAGACTGACCATCAAGAGCCATTATCAGCTATACATACTTCTCCCAAGAGACCTAATTGGAGATGTTCGCTTGTTGTCAGTGCTGCTCTAATTGTACACCTGTACCTATGTGGAAAGACGAGAGCAGATATTATTGTAGCATGCAGTAATAAGCTTTTAGAAAGGCAGATTGTGGGCCGGCCCCATGGCTCACTTGGGAGAGTGCGGTGCTGGTAGTGCTGAGGCCACGGGTTCGGATCCTATATGGGGATGGCCAGTGTGCTCACTGGCTGAGCATGGTGCAGACAACACTGTGAGGAGGGTTGCGATCCCCTTACCGGTCAGGGGGAAAAAAAAAAAAAAAACAGATTGTAAAAATGTCTGCAGGTTGAGGAAAAATCTGAACTATTAACTGGCAGAATAAAATAGATGTTTTAGAAAGCTAGTAAAATTGATCTTAAGTAACATTCAAAATATATCATAATCAAAATAACTTACAAAGAGATTAATAAAAGGAGATTTGGAACTTTCTTTAGGTTTCAGGTTTTTCTCCAAACTTTTTAGAGCTTGTACTACAAAGCCTAAGCTCCATTTCCAGTCATCTGTTGTGGAGTGGCCAAACAGAAATGCCAAAGGAGTTATAACCTAGATAATTATTTAAGGACTTTGAAAAATTAAAAATATTTGAATTTGGGGGCTTTTGAAATGGGGCCAAATATTCTTTGCTTATGGTCTTGAAGGATACAGTGATACATTTTATGTGACAAATTTTACAGTTTGTAAAACCTTTAGTAAAGAACAGATAGTTTTTAGGAGGTTCAGTGTGTTTTCAGTGATGTGCTATTTTTTATAATTATGTCAATAGTATTTAGCTAGATTTTTGTTTTTAAAAACACCTGTTTTGATTTGTTTTGGCATCTCTTCTTCCCCTGTGTCAGACGTTGGCAAACTTTTCCTGTAAAACAGCAAGATGATAAACATTTTAGGTTTTGCTAGCTATACAGTCTCTCTCATAGCTACTCTTTTTTACAGAGCAAAAGCAGCTATACCTAAACAAATGTGTGTGACCAGTTCCAGTAAAACTTCATTTATAAAACAGTCAATGGGCAATTTGGTCTGTTGGCCGGTCAACCCCTACCCTATGCAATTCTTGTTCTTTTCCTGTTTGATAGTCTTCAGCCTGGTTTTGCTGTTAATAAAGCTATTCCAAAATGGAGCATGGTGCCTCTCTATAGAATTATGTTAGGCACAAGTCTGTCATCTAGTGGTGAGCTGCGATTCCTGTTTACTCTGCACATGAATTAGCTTCATGTAATACACTGAAAGGAAAATGTATGTGTATTTATATATGTGCTTAGGATATTTTTGTTTTAAATGCTTGTCTAAGAGGAGTTTTAACATTCATGTCTTTTGAATCCAAAGTAGGTTTTCAAAAAATTTTATATGAAATTTAAAGATATAAATATATTTGTAAGATACAATATAACAATTATGTATATAGTCATCATTCAGTTTGAAAGAAAGAGTGCTAGCAGGACCTTAGAAACCTTTAGTGTCTCTTTTCTCTTGCTTCATATCCATATCATTTCTTGGTATTGTTGCACATACTCACTTTTTAAAAAATCTGGGGTGGAATATGATTGAACTATTTGAAACGGTAGTTTTCTCATTAGTCTTGTTCTTTTCAGCATATGACTAGAACATTTCATGACTTGGAAGGAAACGTAGTTAAACAGGACTCTGGAATATGGATTAATGGGTTTGATTATACTGGAATGTCTCACATAACCCCTCACATTCCCGAGATCAATGATACCATTCGAGCTCACTGTGAGGAGAATGCACCCCTTTGTGGTTTCCCTTGGTATCTTCCAGTGCACTTTCTCATCAGGTCGGTTTATTACTTTTCTGCCTAAGTTTGTTCTCATGTCCTATCACTGTTTCAGCATTCTGTTATTTCAACTGTTAGCCTTAACTCACAAGTGACATTTATACTATTTTTCTTTCACTATAGCACTTCTATTTCTTTAGTGGGATAAAGCACTCAGAAGAGTAGTTTTTCTTTTTCTTTTTAATTTTAATTTATCGGTATGCAATGTAGTTGATTTTCGTGTCCCTTTACCAATTCCACCTTTTCCAGCCCCCTCTCCTTGTCTCCCCCTCCATCAACATCATATTTGTTCACTGTCTTAACCAGTTCAAGGAATTATTGTGATTGTCGTGTCTTCTTTTCTTTTTTTCTCCCTCTGCCCCATTTGTTTGTGTATGTATTTTTATTAGCTCCCACATGTAAGTGAGAACATGCAGTATTTCTCTTTCTGTGCCTGGCTTATTTCACTTAATATAATTTTCTCCAACTCCACCCATGCAAATGGTAGTATTTCAAAAAGTCTTTCTTCTAGAAACTGGAGTTGTTAGAATGGGTGGCCCTCCTAACTATTATAATAGGTAGCAGTTAAGCATCAATCTCAAGTTTTGTTTCTGGGAAATACGATTTGGCAGTGAAGAACTGGAGAAGAAATAGGGTGGGTAGTGGAATCAAGATCACCTAGGGAACTCCTATGTTTGTAACATTGGGAGGATTTTATTAAACAGTGGCCTGGGTGTCAGAGGAGCTGGCATTGTTGATCATATCCATCAGAGTTTATTTTCATACCCCAGAATGTGTGCATATATTCTGAACACTTCCATGAGTTATAGATAGATATCAACTAATAAAGCTAACTTTCCAAAATAGGAAAAACTGGTATCTTCCTGCCCCAGGAGTTTCTCCAAGAAATCCTGCTCATTTCAGACTTCTTTCCAAAGAAGAGACACCTTGGGATTCTATAAAGTTGACCTTTGAAGCAACAGGTGAGTCATATGAGTTTGTTCTTTCCACTTCTTGTTAAACTTTTAAATAAGTTGCATGTATGTTTTTCCCTCAGATGTACTACACCGACCAGCAACTTAGGAAGAGCTTATAGTGATTCTAAAAGCAAATGAAGCTGGTTATGCTTTCTTAAAGAAAATTTAATAGATTTTATTTTATTTCATATACTTATTTGCCATCTGTGTATATACTTTTGTAATGTGTCTGTTCAGATCTTTCGTTAATTAATTAATTGGGTTGTTTGTTTTCTTATTGTTGAATTTTATGAGTTCTTTGTATATTTGGGATACAAGTCCTTTATAACTTGTCCTTTGGAAATATTTTCTGCCAGTCAGGCTTGTCTTTTCATTCTCTTAATAGTGTCTTTTGCAGAGCAGATGTTCTTAAATTTAGTAAAGTGCAACATAGTTTTTATTTTGTGGATCATGCCTTTGATGTTGTATCTAAAACTTATCACCAAACCCAAGGTTCCTTGATTTTCTCCTGTGTTATTTCCTAGAAGTTGTTTAGTTTTGCATTTTCCTCTTTGGTCTATGATCCATTTTGAGTTAATTTCTGTAAAAGATGTAAGGTCTTTGTCTAGATTCATTTTTTTTGCATGTAGATGTCCAGTTATTGAAAAGACTGTCCTGTCTCTATTGAATTCTCTTTGCTTCACTGTCAGAGATCAATCGATTATATTTGTTTGGGTCTATTTCTGGGCTCTCTGTTCTGTTCCATTGATTGATTATTCTTTTGCCATTACCTCACTATCTTAATCACTGTAGCTATATAGTAAGTCTTGAAGTTGGGTAGTATCAGTCCTCCAACTTTGTTCTTCTCCAGTATTGTGTTCTGTCTTTTAACTTTTCATATAAACTTTTAGAATTAGTTTGTCACTATTCATAAAATAACTTGCTGGGGTTTTGATTGGGATTGCATTGAATCTATAGATCAAGTTGGGAAGAAACAACATTTTAACAATATTGACTTTCCCTATCCATGACATGGAATATCTCTACATTTATTTATATCTTGTTTGATTTCTTTCATCAGAGCTTTGTAATTTCCTCATGTAGTTCTTGTACATGTTTTGTTAGGTTTATTCCTAAGTAGTTCATTTTGGGGTGCTAATGTAAATGGTATTGTTCATTGATGGTATATAGGAAAGTAATTGATTTTTGTATATTATCCTTGTATCCAGGAACCTTGCTGTGATCGCTTATAGTTCTAATTGTTTTTTGTCAATTCTTTAGATTTTCTACACAGATGATCATGTCATCTACAAACAGTTCTTTCCAACTTGTGTATCTTGTATTTACGTTTTTTGTCTTTTTATATTACTTAGGACTTAAGTATCATTTTGAAAAGGAGTGGTGAGAGGGGGCATCCTTGCCTTGTTCCTGATCTTAGTGGGAAAGCTACTAGTTTCTTACCACTGAGTGTGATGTCAGCTATAGGTATTTTGTGGATGTTCATTATCAGGTTGAGGAAATTACCAATTTCTAGTTCGTTGAGAGTTTTTACCATGTGTGGGTATTGGATTTTGTTAGATGCTTTTATTGCATCTGGCGATATGATCATGTGATTTTTCTTCTTTAGCCTGTTGGTGTAATGGATTACATTAATTGATTTTTTATTTGAACCAGTCTTGTATACCTGGGATAGATCCCACTTGGTCATGCGTTTTTTACACATTGTTGGGTTTGATTTGCTGATATTTTGTTGATCATTTTTGCATCTATATTAATGAAAGATACTGATATATAGTTTTCTTTCTTGTAATATCTTTGTCTCATTTTGGTATTAGGGTAATGGTATTAGGGTAATGCTCCCAGAATGAGTTTGGGAGTATTCCCTCTGCCTCTGTCTTCTGAAAGAGATTGTAGAGAATTGATGTAATTTTTTCCTTAAGTGGTAGAATTCACCAGTGAACCCAGCTGGGCCTGGTGCTTTCTATTTTAGAAGGTTATTAGTTATTTATTCTATTTTTAGAATAGATCCAGGCCTACTCAGATAGTCTGTTTCTTAGTGTGAGTTTTGGCAGATTGTGTCTTTCAAGGAATTCGTTCATTTCATCTCATCTAGGTTATCAAATTTGTGGGCATATAATTGTTCATGGTCTTACTTTATCCTATTAATGTTCAAGGGATCTGTAATGATGCCCCCTTTCTTTTCTGATATTAGTGATTTGTGTCTTTTCTCTTTTTTTCTTGGTTTGCCTCGCTAAGGACTTATTGATTTTATTGATCTTTCCAAGAACCAGCTTTAGGTTTAGTTGATTTTCTCTATTGATTTTCTGTTTTCATTATTTTTGTTCTAGTTTATATTATTTCTTTTCTTCTACTTCCTTTGGGTTTAATTTGCTCTTCTTTTTCTAGTTTCGTAAGGTGAAGGGTTACGTTATTGATGTTAGATCATCTTTTCTAATATATGCATTCAATGCTATAAATTTCCTTCTAGCATTGCTTATGCTCCATCCCACATATTTTAAGTTGTATTTTCATTTTAATTTAGTTCAAAATATTTTAAAATTTTTCTGGAAACTTCTTTGACCCATTTATTTGGAAGTGTGCTCCTTAATCTCCAAATAATTTGGGATTTTCCAGCTATTTTTCTGATATTGATTCCTAGTTTAATTCCATTGGGTCTGAGAGCATATTTATATGATTTCTATTCTAAATTTGATAAGGTGTGCTTTATGGTGCAGGATGTGATGTTCCATGTAAGCTTAAAAACAATGTGTATGCTGCTGCTGTTGGGTGAGGATTCAAAAAGTGTCACTTATATCCTGTTGATTGATGTTGTTCAGTTAACTATATATTCTTACTGATTTTCTGGATGCTGGATTTATTAATACTGAAGAAGGTGTGTTGAAGTCTCCAACTGTAATTGTGAATTTGTCTATTTCTTCTTCAGTTCTGTGAGTTTTTGTCTAACCTCTTGACACTGTTATTAGGTGCATACATATCAAGGATTGGTATATCTTCTTAGAGAATTTACCCTTTATTGTTATGTAATGCCCCTCTTCATCTCTGATAATTTTCTTTGCTCTGAAGTCTGCTTTGTCTAAAATTAATATAGTTCTCCAGCTTTCTTTCTTTCTTTCTTTCTTTTTTTTTTGTCCTTTTTGAGACCGGCCACACCGCGCTCAGCCAATGAGCACTATGAGCACACCGGTCATCCCTATATAGGATCCGAACCTGCGGTGGGAGCGCTGCTGCGCTCCCAGCACCGCACTGTCCCGAGTGCGCCACGGGCTCGGCCCTCCAGCTTTCTTTTAATTAATGTTAGCATGGTATATCTTTCTCCATCCATTTACTTTTAATCTATATGTGTCTCCATATTTAAAGTGGATTTCTTGTAGACAACAAATAGTTGGATCTTGGTTTTTTTTTTTTTTTTTTTTTTTTTTTTTTTTTTTTTTTTTTTT